TAGACAAACACTTCGCAGAGGCAAAATATAAAGAGCGAAACGATAATTAATACGTTAATGCCCAAGAGCGACAACTGATGCAGCTACACAGAGTATGCTCTACTCGCTGCTTCTAATCAGTATCAGTATCAGGATCATTAATGATCTTGCCAGTGTACTGCAGTGGAATGTCACAATTTGCAGATGATGTCAAAATTTGGCATGATATCAAGACATCGAATGATCAGTTCAGAGTGAAGAATTCTTTTCGGTAAACTCTCATCGGACCCAAACGTTTACAAAACACTGATAGTATGGGTAAGCGTCAACTCGGGCTGGGATTTACTTCTGGACTGTTTGAATGATCAAAATCGATAACTCGAGACAGAGATAGCGATGGTAAACCAAGTAAACTAAATACACATGCATACGCAAAACTCGGTAGTTCAAAGTAATTAAGTAGGTAAAAGAACAGCCAAATAACTAAGAAACGATGTCCGTTGGCCAATGCAGTATAATCGGCCATATGAATCGTTTTTTTGTATACATGATTCCGGCTTCAGATGGTGAGTGTAGATAGCCTCGGCGATGGATAAGAGCTGTTTGCGGAATCCTTGGGTGTAGTGTTCACGTAGTGAATAAATGACTTTGAAGTCATTCTCTGAAGCTGTGTGGCCAAATTCAAGGAGGTGCGACATTATTGAGCTGTATGAAGACCTCATTTTGCCTTTGTAATACCATGCCGGGATATGTTCACGAATCCTCCGACATAGGCGTCTTGTCGTGCGACCCACGAAATGAGGTCTTCATACAGCTCAATAATGTCGCACCTCCTTGAATTTGGCCACACAGCTTCAGAGAATGACTTCAAAGTCATTTATTCACTACGTGAACACTACACCCAAGGATTCCGCAAACAGCTCTTATCCATCGCCGAGGCTATCTACACTCACCATCTGAAGCCGGAATCATGTATACAAAAAAACGATTCATATGGCCGATTATACTGCATTGGCCAACGGACATCGTTTCTTAGTTATTTGGCTGTTCTTTTACCTACTTAATTACTTTGAACTACCGAGCTTTGCGTTTGCATGTGTATTTAGTTTACTTGGTTTACCATCGCTATCTCTGTCTCGAGTTATCGATTTTGATCATTCAAACAGTCCAGAAGTAAATCCCAGCCCGAGTTGACGCTTACCCATACTATCAGTGTTTTGTAAACGTTTGGGTCCGATGAGAGTTTACCGAAAAGAATTCTTCACCCTGAAATGATTTCTGATATTGATTCATATTAATGGAATGGGAATCTTTGCTTTGCTGAAGACCGGCATTGCCCTTGATTTATTGAAACAATTGAATGAGTATCTAAAGTTCAATACATCAGATGATCACATGACATTTCAGAGCGATCTCGACAGGGCTTATGTGTGGTCATCCGAGAATCGGCTCCAGTTCAACGTGGCGAAGTGCAAATTCGTAAGCATACCCCATCAGGTTATCTATGAATATCGACTTGGGGGCGAGCAGTTACAACGTGTTTCCCAGGATTGCGAACTCTGGGTGATCGTGCAGTACGATCTTGGCTGCTCAAGTCAGGCTAAAAAGGCATAAGAGAGAGAGCCGGTAAAGAAATTGGACTCTTAGGAAGGACTTTCGGGAATTTCGAGCGATCAATCATTCCGCAAATGCTGAACACCTACCTGAGGCCTCAAGTGGAATATGCGCTCCAGGCCTGGCGTCCCTGGCGCAAGCGCGACTTCAAAGCAGGTGAAGTTGCAAAACATGGAGTGGCCAAACTCGTTAGAGGATTGTTTATCTCTCCTACCATCTCAGCCTGTAGTCCCTGAGATTGTGCAGTGGTGAATATCGACGTCTGCATGAAGATCTTATCATGGTTTACTTAATACTGACGAACCCAACTTACCCATGCCACTTACTATTGCAGCTGAGTCAAACTAACAACCTGAGAGGCCATCAGTTTAAACTGGCTACGCACTACAGCTGAGTTGACTGTCGACGAAACCTTTTCTCCCTCCGTGTGTCCCGTGCCTGGAATGCCCTTCCGGCTCACGTTATTCTTGCCCCTACATTAATGATTTTCAAAAAAACGCCTCGATAAAACGCTTTCAAACTTGCATAATTTGATGTACTCGCTTTTACTCCGATGACGAAATAAAGTAAACCTCACCATCTGCATAATGACCTTTCCGCAACGTGGCGGTGAAGGGATATGCAGAAGTGTCCTTGCGAGTAGCATGGATGTATCCAAACTGGAGTAACAGAACACTGCCAAAGGAAGCAACAAAGGAGTGAGCGCTGTCGTTTCTTCTTTTATTTTTCACGCAATGACTGAACTATAACAGCTTTCTATACTATTTTGTGTGGGCACATCCTATTCCCACTTCAAACTATCGTTATGCAGTAGTGCATTTCAATCGGTAGACGCTAAATATGACGACGTAATTATTCGTTGTTCCATTCCATTTTATTTTTTACTCCGACCATCCTACGGGACTTGTCAAGCACATGCTTTTTTACCCGTGATAGATCATTGTTCATTGTTCTCTTCAGGACATTTGCTATGGAAATCTAGCCTTAATCACATGTTGAATACAACGGTTAATTTGGACAAATTAGGTTTTCCAGGTGTTCAGGCTTGGATCGTTTTTTTGGGTCATGCCATGCTGCGTTTTGATTCCTCAAGCATTCGCATCTCCTACTCCGCACAAGTGAGTGCATATTGCACGAACAGATGGTCTTAGTTTATAATGCGTGAAAAACCAGGGTGTCAATCTAGCTGCCGACAATTTCCAAAGCAGTACCCGTTGTATCCTCGCTTAGGAAACTCTAGCTACATACTTCAGTCAGTCGGGCTAAGGTGTCCTAGCACGTTATGTTCCGATTCGCTTAGGCTTTATCACTGGGGTATACTTCCCTCACTTCGGAGCTAGCCTCGGTTGGAGCCTCACGGCTCCCTGGTTGGGGTCCAAAAGACGGTGAACACGTTTGGCTGGATACACTTGCTGATATGGCAAGGAGCCGACCTCAATGGCGTTCCTGTTGTGAGTTTCTTTGTCCCTCCCCATCCCTTTTAGCCTCCCCTCCATCTACGATCTCATTTCGTAGGGTAAAACATAATTCTTTTTTCTTTTTGCCTAGTAGCTGGCTGGTTGCTTACCGGAACGATGCCTATCCGTTGCTGGTAGCTCAGCTGGCATGTAAATGTTTTATTTATTTTTCATTTATGTATTGTATGTATGTATGTATTCCCATTATGTATTGCGGTAACATAGCGGAGGTGTTTCCCCACCACTAGCTGACATGTATAACGATGATGATGATGATGACTGGGGTATGCTGCATAGCAGCAATATTGTATGTCCACTGTAGTAGTCTAGAGGAATATCCATGAGCACCCTCTCGATCGTAAGCCAGTCGCTTGTGAATAGTAACTTCACACATCAGCATGGTTACACCTTAACTGCAGGTGGAAAACACCTCAGATATCGTGCCGCAATACAAAAAAATCTACAACAGTTGCACGCCAGCTGAGTCACAAGTAGCGCATGGACATCGTTCCAGAGAGCTAACGGTCGGCTATTGTGCCGCAAAAAACAGTTACATTGTGCCTAATAAATGAGATCCTGGTTGGAGAGAGAAGCCAAGTGGGAGAGGGATGAACAAAGAAACTCACAACACAAACGCCATTGGGTTCGGCTCTTAGCAATATCAACAAGTGTATCCGGCCAAATGTGTTCATCATCCTACAGTCTCCAACCACGGAGCAGAGAGGCTCCAACTGAGACAAAGTTCGAAGTAAGAGCCTTCCTTCCTCTTGATCAGGTCATCGCTTGGCAACCCCTTCTTTTCTGCCATCCGCACCCCCGGCGCGAAAACAACGCCCTTCGCGGGAATCGGTGGGCTGCGGTGCGCAACGCGTGGCCCCGCCATCTGAGCCTAGTGCATGAAATAACGGGGCTGAGTGATTCGCTCGCTCTTCCGGCACCAAAGACGCCGCGCCGAACATGCGCATTCCGCACACGGTGTTCCAACCAGATATGAGCCAAACTCCGAAGGCACCAGTGGTCGAACGTAGGCAGCTCCAGTACCCATGACTTGTTTGCTTTCATGAACCTGGAGGGCGAACTGATGTGACCACAAAGAGGAAAATTAGTGACAAGGTCTTGAGGTCGACCCTGCGGCTGCTTGGGAATTCAAAGCACATGAGTTAACATCATCAATAACTAGGACGTGACGATAATTTCTGTTTATTACGCGCCTCAACACAGACGCAAATTGAAGTCTGTCTCAGGTGTAAAAGTTGGAGGCAGTATACAGTGATTATGGGGCAAACCGCGTTACGTCTAAGCCACAAGTAACCTCAAATGGAATAGGGTACATCAGGTTCGGTCTCCCATATGGAGGTCACAGCAAGAATTCAGAGGTACCGCGCAACAGTTACTGACTCGACTATTCCGGAAAATGGGCATACTATCGATCGCAACCACAGCATCTGTTATCGCGTAGCCCAGCCATGTTTCCGTGGTGAAGAGGAGGTTCCGCGCGTCTGACGCATATCGATTTGGCAACGCAGCTAAGTTGCTGTGCAGTCCTTTCACAACGGTCTATATGAAGAATGGCGGTGGATGTGGTGGATGAGGCGGATGTATTTACGCCGATCGATGCACGGTCGGCAGTTGATCAACTTGCCTATCGGCTGCCGTTGAACACTTTGACACAAACTGCCGACACACTAATAATTCAATTGAGTCCAAATTTGCACACGCGCTTAGAATGAACACAACCACTTTTATCCACGGACCAGGTACCATAATCGAAATGAGGATGGCAAGAAATCGAAGTATATACTAATTCCAATAGAAAAGTGCCTGCCGTACTCCCGATAAATGCGTGCAATACAAACCTCTTATTGATTCAGCTCATAAGTGCTCACATTGGGGTTCGATTGGTCAATGACCAAAGGAGAAAGTTGTGAAAAAATGTCGAATGGAACTCACCGATTGTGGACTCTCGTCGATTTTATTACCTGATTTTGTAGAGAAAAAGTGACGGGATGCATCACACACGGCATTTCCATGATTTTCGCATCGGTTAAAAATAGTTCCCCACCGATACTCATTTAAAGGGTTGGGTAAGATTTAACTGACCGAATCTTCGGGTTAAAATTTTCAAGCCTGAGGAATGAATGTTTAACGTGCAATTTTCCATGCCAAAGAAAACGACTGACATGAATAATGTTTTTGGAATTTTTGGACGCTTAGATTTCTCTACAAGAGCTTAAAAATGTGGGCACGTTATACGCCAAAGCAACTTTGCTAACGTTTGGTCATCCATGTCGGACATACATTGCTCGTACCCAAATACCTGCCCCAAATACAACACACAGAACGCTGCCCTATCCGTGATAAAAATGTACACTACTAGCTTTAAAGTCGCGTACCAATCTGCATGCAGACTTTTTCCTCAGCAGATATTCACCGATTTGGAATCTTCTCCCACTGTCCATTAGATCATACACATTTCCTCACGGGTTCCATGTACAGATGGATAAATTTCACAAAGTTCCGAAAGCTATGCAAATCTTAACCTTACTATCGTAGAGATAGAGGTCTATCCGAAGGAAGCAAAGGACATATAATGTCATGTCCGTAATGCCTCACGGTCGTACAATAAGAAAGGTGCTCGCACATTATGTGCTAGCACAGGAGTAGCAGTCTCACGTCGGTTGCTACCAAATTGCTGGCATACGTTTTGCTCAGCCGATTATCACCGATTTGCGAGTCGTTTTATCGCGAGGAATAAGCTGGCTTTGGCCTCGGTCGAGGACGCGTGGACCGGATATTCACGCTACGCCAAATCCTTGAACACCGCCGTCTTTACTACAAAGCAACCATTGTCGTTTTCCTGGATATTCGAGCTGCATTTGACTCGCTCGATCGGCCTGGTTTATGGCACTGTTTGCTAAAAAATGGAGTCCCCGAGAAGTACACTTCTATCATTCGGGCGCTTTACTTCTAAGTGTCTGGTTGTTGGCCTCGTTGTTGGCCTCTACGTAGAAAGTAACTTATATATAGAGGCCAACAACGGTCCGAATTTCCAGGCCCACTCTCCCAGCCTCTATTTCATTCTCTGTTCACCCGGCTATACCTAACTCAAGACTCTCATATCCGTATGGTGACTGAAGATGGGAGTTGTTCCGAGAGATAATCACAATTCATCCGACCAGTGTTGTGTTCTTTGCTTACTTGGCCACTCAGACCTCAAGGCTATTATACCTACGAGGAAAGAAACCTCGGAAGGGAAACCAAGTCCTCGTTTTCATTCCTTGGGTCTGTGTTAGATTCTTTCGTTAACATTCCATGACTAACTCAAGTGTTTCATGTTCACATAGAAGCCTATGAGGAAATTTCAACCGGATACTCATTCTCTTCTACCTGACGACCGTTGCACTGGTTTTCCAATAATTCTACGGAGCACTCGTTTCAATAGTTGCTATTGCTACCTCTGTCATCGATGCGCATGAGCGCGAAACAGACAACTATTAAAATTTTATATTCTAGGAAAAAGTTTCATACCATGTTAAACTAGGTTTGGTTAGCATATCTGCGACAGAGTTCCCGCACATTAGCAGAACCACTGGCCTGACCGATTCTAAGAAATTAACGTCGCCAACATGCTAAGATTCAGTTAAAACGCATACCTCTCACAATTGTATTTCCTGCTTGTATGCTGCAGAACACATCAGTACAGACTTGGATGATATTTCCCCTACATCACTTTAAATCTGTTAAAACTAAACTATACCATAGCCGCGCGGCACACTCGTATATCGGTCAACCTGTTCATTGTTCTATTTTTCCAAACTATCTTTTCGCCTGTGACTCATGCCAATGCCAATGGCTGGCTTGCCGAACAACCTCCTCGTGGTGCCAGCTGGGTGGTTCGGGATTTTCCCGTTCCAGCAAATGGTTCGGCGGCAGTGTTTCAGGACGTGGTGGGTTTTCGCCTGGCAAGCGTTCTCCCTATAAAAAGCCACATATGTCCGTTTAACAACACTGTGACGTGGCGGACGTGACTCGCCACTAAATAAAGTCACTGCCCCTTGCTTCATCCTGGCGAAGCATTGTATTCCAGCAACCTTATGCTGTACTTCTGGGAAGCATTGGGCCCCTGTTTGACAAAGGAACAAACAAAAGGCGTATGAACTGAGCAATCAGTCACCGGCTCCCAATGGGCGCGATTCCCTGAATTCGCTCCGCTGCCTTGCGGGCAGGCTATTCAGCCAAAGGCTCGGGGTGGTGTCCCCTAAGTCAACACCCTACTTCGGCTTGGGCAACCGGGTAGTATCTCGCCCTCTGAGGAAACCATGGACATTGTTGTGTTGTGTTTTATTTTACTGTTTCTGTACCTTTGTTTGAATCCCATGGTTTCTGATGGCATTATGTCTGTTAACAGACTTTTGCAAATATATATATATATATATATATATATATATATATATAGAGGAAAATCTTCAAACACACCCGTCTGTTTGGCGTCTTACTTTCACACAATAACGCTAAAGCATTGATACTTATACGTTAAAAACAGCAATCCTACAATGTCAAGCCGCTCTGGCTTGCAGCGCTTCGCTCTCCATTCAGCTGCCTTTTACTCTGCTGCAATGGCAAACTACACCGCAAGCAAAGCATATATCAGCACAATAAATATCCGAATGTATTTATTTCTATTTATGCACAAACTGCTTTTGTGGAACTGACTGATCGAGCCAAATAACCTGTGCCTCACAAAATGGATATCAAATGGAATCTGCCTGCTTATCTAAAGCTTAACAACTTTGCGATCAACCTGTATAATTTGATGGGGCCAACAACCTGGGCAGTGTACCGCACAGTCGAGAAATGAAATACTGATTTATGCAACATCAATTATCCCATGAACTGACTTAGTTTATTGTGACCTTGCTCATAAAACATGCCGTACAGCTTCGTTTGGTTCGTCCAAAATATATCAAAATTTGCTTGGTAGACTACTTAGCAGCAGCAAAGTTTGAGTTCCAAACGCCCTGAATATTTCAGCACGTGTTGCACCATAGGCCCAGCTAGGTCTGCTGCTGCAAGTGAAAAATGACGAACTACAACGTACATCCACCTGCGTTGATATACACTTGGTAACTGCAAGCCACTTGGAAGCCTGCGCTTAATGGTAGCGGGAAAATTCGATTCTGATTATGGCAAGGATATTGAACGCTTTCATCCAAGTACTAGGCGTACTCCCCCTTTATCATGCTGTGTCACAATATTGGGAAAATAATAGTTTAGTGAATGTTACCCCGCGCCTGTACGATCTGATTCGATCATGACAAATGAATCAGTTAAACGGAAAAATCGAAATACGTTACACTCACGGAATTCACGTTTCCTTGACGAGGGTGATGTGTCTGCCGTTACTCCCATCCGTAGAGGATTCGCAGGCTTGGAGGACAGGTAGCGAGCAAACCAATCACCCGTTTTAGCCATCACTCTCCTGCTTTCAATGAAGATGGGATGAGAGTTTTTGTTTCATGGAAACTGATGTCCCTTTATCAATGAATCAAGGTATGAACGCGAGCGAAGTGCCAAACATACTAAAAGCACTAATGCGTATCCAATTGGGCAGGTGAATAATGTTGGAAGGTAATCAGATTAGCGTTGGTCAGTGATTTTATTATATCCGACAACATCCGTAGTGGGTCGTTGGTCTCCCGATCATGTGTAACGGATGCCCAACTATGCCCATTGGCTGTGCGACAAAAGTAGGCCATCTCAGGACTCGATATTTTATCCGATGACTATCTCCAACTGAGGAAATATATATCGTGCAATGAATCGGAATGCCTGTAGTTCGGGTTGTCTATTCAAGTTTTGGTTTGTCCGTCGAGCCAAACAATTTTGTTGCAAACGTTTCATCACCAATCGCGGTGACTTCTTCAGTGCGTAGTAGGCAAACTGAATGGTTCTTGGACCCTTGATCCATGAATGAATGGTGTTTGAAATTGAGCACATCGTTTCACGTCCCGTGAACACTGCTATTCACCGTCACTTTCAGTCTCATGTTGTGAATGACCTGCCTAAATTCTCTTTTTCGCAGTTGTTCTTAAACAGGATCTATGTCAGGTTTATTGAATTCTCCGCAGAGAACCATGCTTCGAGGAATCCTCTGGAATTAATGACACAACACTCCCGTTTGAATTATTGAAAATATATTTACTCACCTAAACCCTGTTCCCCCTAGAATGCACTACCAACAACTATGGCAATCGCACTAGACATCGCACGACATCTTCGTGATAAACGCTATACAACAGTTCGATAAAGTGAAATGGTTTAACGACTGATAACTCACTTTCCACGTTTAAACACTTTTGATGTTAATTTTCTTTTGTATATCCATCCAGTGAGTCTTGCAAAGTTATGCTTTTTATCCCATCATACACGATTGAACTATTTATTACGGACCACCCTATGTGTCAGTTGCTGATCCACATCAAATTAGTTTAAAGTACGAACGAAATGAGACCAATACGCTGCAGTTTGATTGAATCAGCAAGACAAAAATCGATTGCTCATGTAGTAATTTTCACCTATTTGCTTCTGGTCTGAACTATGCTGACAGTGTTATTGCCATACCAAAGGTACCGCACTTTTAGCTAATGACGATATTCCGGTTGCGGCGTAACAAAGCGTCGGTACGTTGTGCCGGCGCACTGCTGACGCACCTTACTTAACATGTTCGCGCACGTGCGTACTATGGTTCCATCGTCCCACATCTAGCACGTTTTGATGGGAGGGAATTCAATATTTCAAGTTCTTTGATTCTTCAGACTCACTCCATGCATTCGCCCTGTCGGCCCTGCTAGGATGGAAGGAATTTATTTATACTTTATGAGTTAGTTAGATCGTGGTATCTTTCAACTAACGTTTATCACTTTCGTTGACTATGACCATTTCGATGACAAATGGCAAGGTTGCCAAACAATACGACATACTCAAACAAAGGTATATCATATTCTATGCTGCGATTTGTTCCACAACTTGTCTTTAATTTGTGTTAATAGTGACCAGTTGGTACACTGACGTGTGCGCAATCGAAAAATTGATAATTACGTCTGCGGCTTGCAATACATCGACAAGTTATCTAAATGAGCGTGATCTGCAGCTGTACATAGTAAAACACGATTACTTTAGTTTTTCTCAGCAATGAGTATTAAATACTGAGAAGAGAGAGCGAGATATAAATCTGTGTTTCTCCGTCGTAGTCACGTTGGGCACATGCACGAAATCAAGTCACTGATCCTGCACGGTGGCAGCATATTACAGCTGCACTACATCTTATCCCTATACCTGTAATGCGCAAAGTGGGCATCAAGGAATCTCTTAAATTTCGACACTGATTTCGCCTCAACCAGCGTCTCCGAGAACTTGCTGCAATATTTCACCATGCGACGGCCGAAGCATAGAGAGTGTGCGATGCGCTTTGAATCCGGTATCATCAATCCGTACCGGTGTCTGCTTGTGCTGCTTGGTTCGCGAAAGTGATGCAGCGGCCTCAATATAGGGAAGTGGCCCAGGTGCAATGTTATGAGATCAACTCAAAGCCGACGACATCATAGGGTATAAAGCTCTGGTCTCTTATATCGGTCATCTTACGGCATGCCCAGTGAACTGGGCATGAGTCGGGAAGCGGCATGCTGGGTCCGTTCCAGTCTCTGCACCTCACATATTGTGATCGGACAATAGGCAGGCGAACCGTACTCAAACACCGGTCTTATCATGAAAGAGAACAGACGAGTCGCAGTCTCTTCAGACCAACTACAGAAGCTGCGTCCAAGTGCCCAAAGCAGGCGTAGTCCGTTACCATACATTCTGTTCATCTAGTCGACGGACTTCAGATCACTGCGTGAGAGTACGCCTAGATGCCCGACGGAACTGGGGGGATGTAGCTATTGACTGGCTATGGTGCATTTACGCCCATTGCCATCTTTCCACAGATCCATAAATGTTGACTTCACCGGGTTTACCGGCAGATTATCTTCTGCAAATCACAATGACAGGCGGTCGAGGTCCCACTGAAGGAAGTCACATTCTCCGGGAGAATCAATAACGCTCCAAACCTTCAAGTCGTCGGCAAACAATGCGCAAGGCGATCAAAAAGCTGTGAGACTTCACTGATGTTGATCAGGAACAAAATGAGCTCCAGTACTTTGCCTTGAGGTACGCCGCTAGTGGAGGGGTACCATTCAGTTAGGTGATCAACCGTTTGTACCGCCATTTTCTCCCAATGAGGGAGTCAGTGATGCACTTACGTAGTGCGCCACCAACACCCCACATCCTCAGCTTGTGGAAGGGGCTTCATGCTTCCCTTTATAGAAAGCTCTACTGAAAGCAGTGTAGATAACTTTTACTGATTTCCTCCGGTTCAACGCCTGTAACAATCCGTGCCGCATCAACAGTAGGTTGGTGATGGAGGAGTAGCCCTACTTGAAACCGTGCTATACGAGCGTTAGGAGTTCTTTCGATTCTAATAGCTGGGCAAAACACTTGTTCACAATCTTCTCGAGCACTTTCGACAAAATAGAGGTCAGACAAATTGGTCGATAACTGTCCGCCTTCGTCGCCTCACCGCCCTCCGGGATCAGGCTTCACTACCGAGTATTTCTAGTCGCTCGGTACTTCACCTTCGGACGATGAGCTGTTGAAAAGACCAGTCATAGCCAGAGAGATCATGGCCGATAGGGACTTTAGAATTAGCGGACGGAAGTCGTGGGGTCCGCGAAGCAGTCGCTATTCTGAGGAGAACACACTGAGTAAACGAAGACGCAGTTCGTAAATGAGACAGGATAGTGCATGCGTTGCCTTTGTGGCTCTTATTTGGGATTGCTCCAAAAGGCGAATGTCTCCTTTTAACCATGCACACTGAACCTAAGTTGCTTATTCAACGTGAGGAATAATATACGAGTTAATCAGCAATAGTATACTAGCCGTCGCTCAAACGTTCCGACAGCACGCCTCAAACGCCTCAAGTTCAAGTTCGCCACAGTTGTTGCTCTTGAACTTTGGAACGAATTGCCAAGACTTTCTTGCACGACTATACCTAAGTCGCATTCACTAGTCAAGTGTTGCGGGACGTGTTGCTTCAAAAGCTGTGTTGATGAAGCTGCTACGTACCGTCAGCATATGGCACTTTGCAGGGTTCAGTGTGAGTTGGTTTGTTACTGCCCATTCGTTAATCCGAGCAAGATCTTCATGAAGATAGACATGGTCGGATGCAAAGCGAATTACGCTCCAAATTTTGTCATCGCATGCAAATATTTGCATCGTGGATGGTATGTTTGCTGGAAGGTCAATGATGTAGACTATAAACAGCAACCGACCGAGGAGGGAACCTTGCGGTACACCACTGGAAATGCACACGCTTTCACAGTGAGTGTCAGCTACACTTACCCTGATTTCTCTGTCATGTAAGTAGTCTTCTAACCAGCTGAGCATGGAAGCATTGATACCGTAGGCACCATGCTTGTGGAGGAGAACGAAGGGATTGACCCTGTCAAATGCTTTGGAAAAAACTAACTAAATCATATCTATGGGAACTCCTTCACCAGTCGCCCTCTTCCATGAGTACCAAGTAAGCAGCAAATTAGCGTGGCAAGCTTGTCTACGTCTCAAAGCATGTTGGGCATTAGAAATTACTTCTAGACTTACAAAATATCGCGTTACTTCATCTGGGATTACCGATTCCCTCACTTTTGAAAAAAACTAGGAAGGAGAGTAACAGATATGCAGTTGGCAGGATCATATCCCTTACCTCTTTGTATATTGGAGTAATAATGCCATTTTTCCACTCAGATGGGAGTGTATGGGAGTTCAGCAGACCCTGGAAAATGGTTGCAAGTGGTGCTGCTATGGTAGGAGAAACGATTTTCAGTACTTTTGGGCAGATCATGTCGATTGCAGGGGCACTGTACTCCCGGAGAGACTGTAATATGCTTTCAACAGCTGCTGGGGTAAAGGTGACGCTGGATAAGCCAACGACGCTTGTTGACAGTTGCCAGGGCGAATGTTCCATGGTATTTGTAACTACCAAGCCAAACTGCAGGAGTAGAGGGTTCGCGGCATCCACAGTAGTAGTTGTTAGGCCACTGGCCGCCTTGAGTGATGGTATTCCGAGCTTAACCGTTCTTTCGCTATTCACATACCTGCATAGCAGTTTGCCGTTAACCGCAAACTTGGGTATCATGGTCCACTGTCATTCGTACTAATTGACTCTAGTGATCGACGTGTAGTACTTCGATTGTTTGGTAATTCTGCCGTGCGGTTTCACATGGGCTTAGCGAATGTTGCCTTCAGATGTCATCTCTTCTGTAACTCCATTAACGTTTTCTGCTTCGGATCCACATATTGGTCCGGCGCGATGCTCGTAATGGTACAACCTTCAATGCCGACTATATGACCCAGGTACTTTTATCTTTCAATTCTTGTCATGCGTCG